AGAAGCTCATAGTCATATAGTATATGATGGTAAAATAAAAGGGCAAAAACAATAAAATTCAGTTTCATAGGGTAGCAATAGATTTGACTAGACCTAGGACACAATGGGTCTGAGTCCGGGTCCAAATTTTGGACCCAAAACTCCAACTCCACTTTTTATACTTTTTTAAGCGTATATAATAGTTTTGTATATCCTATTAAATCTCCACCCTATAACTCTATTTTCATTAATTTACTTTTTTTATTTTATTTAATCACAATTCATACTATTGCAGACCTGATCTGGATTTCTCTTCCCGTGGTCCAACATAGGAAAGATCTGGCCCACGGATCCGTGTTTTAAAACCCTGCCTACAATTACGATGAGTACATAGCAAACGAGGAGTAAAAACGGTGAAGTGAGCATTGCGATATCTCGTGTAAGGAAAGTCGGCTAATTCCTCCGCTCTCCCTTTGCCACATGTCAAATTTAGCATCGGAAGTTCATTATAACCTCCAGCCCTATTAAGAGGAAGACTCCATTTTAGCAACCAATATGTTCGGCCAAAACTCGTCTTGCCCATTGGTCAAAGCTGAGTAACTCGGTCAATTCCAAGTGGTTTCGGCCAAGAGGCTGAGTAACTCGATCAATTCCAAATGGTTCTGGCCAACTCCAGGAACACTGCTATAAGGCGTATACCTTATTACAAAAAAAATAAGACGCGACTTCAATACTATATCTAGAAAAAACTTCATATACTCTAAAATCTATTTTCATCACCAATTAAAAAATTTATAATAAAGATCTCACAAATATATAAAAATTTGAAAAATAAGCCGTCGCGAGAATGCATGATAATATACACAACTTTGAAGTTTAAATTATTATTTTTTAATATCTAAAATAGTCAAAATTGAGATATCTTAGTTTAAGCATAATCAATTATGACTTCCTCATAACAAAAATAAATGCTCATATTATACATATACAATCTCTTACTTTAGGGCCAGTTTGGATGTCAAAAAAAAAAATATTTACAGTGAAAAAGATACAGTTTTTTCCACCTCAATTGGAAAATATTCTCAGCTTACTTTATTAAGTTGGTAAACTGTTTGGATGTTTAATTTCATTGATTCGTCGAATTACCCTCTACCCATCTTGGGGGTTTTTTTTGGATAAGGGGTATTAGACTTCTTCAAGCCCCATTCATCACACCAGTTGGAAACGGCAGTTTTGAATGCAAGATTAAGGATTAGGGCTGAAACGTCTAATTGGGTGGAGGTCATGGCCATGGCTCCCAATTCCTTGTGATGCATCTCCTCTCAAATGTCCGTCCTGAAGAAACAATGACTGAGTCAACCATTGGAGCCATGGAGGTGGGGTACAGGAACTCCGATGGCCATTCTCGTCGAAACTTCAATGGCTGAAAAGAAACTTCAGAGAGATCGTCCAACTTGCTTACTTGCTAGCCATTTCAAACTCAATCCTCAAAACCCTAAAAACTAACTTCTCCAACCATCAAACCCAAGCCGGATTTATCAGTTACATCCAAGAAATGCAGAGTTCTCCTCACAGAGAAACTATGCCATAGAGTAAAAGAAAACCCAACCAAATTCGCTACAGAGATTTGATGAGCTTCAAGTATCTCAAGAACCCAACCCTGGTCACTTCAAATGCAAAGAAGGAAGCCCAACTGTAAATTTATAGAGATTTGATGGCCCACCAGGTGGTTTTTTTCTCATCCACTCAAAAAAGAAAGAAAAAACTGATGCATTGCTAAACGGAAGAAGAAAAAAAAAACCAGCTCGTTTGATCAGCGATTTTTTAAAACCCAAATATTCAGGTCAATCTAGATGACAAAGGAAAAGAAAAACCAGCTCGTTTTCTTCACAGAGATTTGAGGATCTTGAGGATTCTCAAAACCAAGAAAAACCAGCTCGTTTTTTTCTTATAGAGATTTGAGGAGCTTTGAGAGGGTTAGAGAGAGGCACGGAAGGAGATGAGGGAAAAGCACGAAGACAGGGGAGAGCATGAGGGATAGAGAGAGAGAGGCGCAAGGGGGTAAAGTTTGATGGGAAACGCGATTCAAGCCAAAAGGGTTGAGTCCGATTTGAATATGTTTTACTCGTGGTTTTGAGGATAAAGTGATATCCTTTTGGAGGAACTATCAATTTTTATGAGGTTATCCGAACGGTTAGTACTTTCTATCTCAATATTTTTTTTTTGTTATAGGAAAATATTACAATTTTAGGTACATCCAAACTGGCATTTAGTTTTCTAATTATACGCTACCAAAGGCATTGTTGATCGCGAATTCGAATCCAAAGGTGCCACCGTTGCATTGTTCACTATAATTAAGCCAATAAAATCACCCACGATATCTATCAACAAACGTGTGAACATAAATATCCTCTCCTTTGTTTCACACAATATTATTAAACTCTTTTTTACTTCAATTCGCCGTAATAAATCGGTTTGGACAGTGATTTCATGTAACAGTTGTATCATAGTATAATGCAACCACACTTCTTAAAAATTATGTTTGTGGTATTTGTATGACCCAAAAGTTTTTACCCTCCCTCTTCATATCAATAATGAATCCCAAAAAAAAAAAAAAATTTCAATTTGAACCTTAGATATGATCAACATTAGTTCCCTCCAACAACGAATCTAGACCATTTATTTGGTTGAATTTTAAGATCTTAGTTTTTACAAACTCAAAATCATTTTTTTCTTTTTTAACATTGTTCATCTATTGATAATAAATCCATCTAAAAAAATTGAAAAAGAAAAAAATCATTATAAGGCCTAGATCTAAGTATCTTATCAAAATGAACGACGTATGTTAATTGGGCTAAAAGAATATTTTCTAGGTTGTATTTTCAAAATTTTCTTTTTTGTGGTTGTTCACTAGAATCAAAAGAGTGTATATTCTAAAATTTGGATGAAACAAATGGTCTTAACATGGGTTTTGAAGATTGTTGCATTATACTATGATACAACAGTTGCATGAGATCACTGCCCAATCGGTTGGGTTTTATTTCAAAAAGTCGAATGAAAAAATTGGATAAAAATATGGATCGCCAAAAAATAAAATAAGCCATAGAATCATGATTATTTCGGATTTGGTTAAAAAAGCGTGGTGAAAAAATTGGATATATAAAAATGGCACAATATATGATTATGATTTGCAGCTATTGTAAAGACATTCTAAAACCATTAAATGATAATTTTATAGCTTTACTTGTGTCATTAAAGTAATACTTAAAAAATATTTGTTGAATTTTTCAATAAATCCAACAACAATATTTACTTTGTTGTCACATCACAAAACATGTCGTAGATTTATTGAGAGCACAAAATAAAAAAAAACAATACTAAACACAAGAACTAGTTAACAAATCACAAGAACTATGAACCAAGGTATAAGATTAGTTTTCAAAGAAAAAAAACAAGAAGTGCTGCTAATATAGGAGTGTAGCTAATTAAAAGAATACGCAAAGGCCCAAATATATAAAATAATGGTCCATCCAAAATATTATGTTGTACACATCAATAAAATACAAAAAATAAAAAATAAAAAAAAAATGAAATTAATCGAACTTCCCTATGCATCAAAAAACAACAAAATGCTTAAGAAAATTTGAATCTCGCACTGAATTCCTAGCTACCTAAATCTTTCGTGTCATTGATCCTCTGTCTTGCTCTTTATAAGGACGCTATTGGTATAAAAAAATAAAAATAGAACTTTTGTTAGGTTACTTTTCTATCCCACCAAAATAAGGCTATGATACTATGTAAGTGCGGTCCGATAGTAGAACACTCTGGAATAACAGGACTCCAGTACTGTGTAAGTACGGTCTGGCAGTAGAACATTCTGAAGTCACAGGGATCCGACTTCAGTATTGTATAAGTGCGGTCTGGCAGTAGAACACTCTGGAGTCACAAGGATTCGACACAGTATAAGTACGGTCACAGAGTCATAAGGCTCTGGTACTGTGTAAGTGCGGTCTGGCAGTAGAACACTCTGGAGTCACAGAGATCCAACACTGTGTAAGTACGATCACAGAGTCATAAGGCTCCGACACTGTGTAAGTACGGTCTGGCAATAGAACAATATGGAATCACAGGTTTTGGCACTTTGTAAGTGTGGTCCACCAATAAAACTTCAGGAGTCACAGGGCTACGGCAGTTGCAAAGGGCAGTCCGACAGTAGATACTTTGGAGTTACAGGGCTCCGGCACCGTGTAAGTGCGATCTAGCAGTAAAATTTATGGAGTTACAAGGATCCGGTAGTAGGACACTGCAGAGTCACAGTGCTTGCCAACAGTAAAACTTCTGGAGTGACAGAGCTCCGACAGTTGCAAAGGACGGTCTGGTAGTAGATACTTATGGAGTTATAGGGTTCCGACACTGTGTAAGTGCGGTCTGACAGTAAAATTTCTAAAATTACTGCAATTCGATAGTTGCAAAGGGTAGTCTGACAGTAAATGTTACTGGATTCTAGAGCTCCAACGCGGTTCGGTAGTTGCCTTAAAGCGGTCCGACACTTAAGTTTCTAGAATAATGGGTCCGACAATGAGATGGTGCGCTCCGACAATGTGCTATCGGGTCCGAAAGTCGACGTCAAATATGGCAAAAATGATTTGTGTCCAAGTATAGCATTTCCATCTAAAAAAATACTTTTTCCCCTTGGGGTTATTTACAACGCATTAAAAGACTACTAACGATTTAAAAACATGAGAGGTACTCCTACTGAATTATATTATATAATTTTTGATGTAAAATGTTCTTAAGATTATTTAAAAATTTATTTTTATATCTAATTATAAAATTTTAATTTTAAAAAATGGTTAAAATGAAATAAATCTATAAACTTATGAAAATCTTAAAAATGAAGGGGGTAGATAATATGTTGTAAAATGCCATATTTTTTAAATTAAAAATCTTTTTATTTTCCATGGTTGTGGGTTTTTCAATATTAAAACTACATTTTCGAATGGATTTTTGGGGGCTTCCGTAGATAGCATCCCTATATAAACTTTTTCCATAACTAAAATATGCAATTAACCATCTTCTTTTATATATAGACTGATATCACAAAAATAAAAAAACAAAACAAATGGAATGTAGTTTTGTACATGAACTTTCATCTGTAACTGCACTGCCCTACACAAGCGTGGAGCAAGAATTGGTCTGAGGATCCCAGAGGGCGGGCAGCACGTACTTCCGGCCATTAACGCCATTCGCATTATAGCTCGCACCACTCACCTTATCCACTAATAAATCCCCTGCATAACCAGGGTATGCTCCCTTCCCGTAAATTCCCGGGCACGCAGACGCGGCCTCAAGTGGCGCACTCGCGGGGCCCTGGTAGTAGCCATCCCCGAATGGGTTGGTCGCCGTCCCCGCCAACAGGCTCGCCAAGTTGATCACCATCCCGTCCACCGCCACATCGCCATTGGGCGCGATGAGAGGTGGGGTCTGGGGGCCGAAAATCGGCTGGTGGAAGGGCCACGCGCACTGGCCCGGGCACTGGGTCTCAGAGTTGCCCACCCAAATGTACGCGTACTTGCCTTTGCCGACTTGCGAGACATCAGAGCCGTGAAACCCACAACTGCTCATACAGAAGCCCTCTACCGTGACATCGGCTGCGGTGAACACCAACACTATGTTGGCGGTTCCACTACCTTTAGCCGCGAGCTTGGGGATGGCAGCCCTCTCAAGAGAGCGGCCCATTGAGTACGCCTCATCCATAATCTGGGTGCCGAGCTGAACCACGCCCTTGGCATCTCCGGCTTTGGCCGCCGGTGTGTATTTGTGGAGAGTGCCCCACCACGAGGACACTGAAGGCGCAAGGGCGGTGGCTTTGGAGGTCGGCACCAGCGACTGCAAGAAATCGGTGATGATGGCGTGCTGCGACGGAGAGAATTTGCCATACCAGACAAGAGAGATGGTGAGATCGCCCTTAAGCAGTGCCCCATTGTGGTAATTCAGAACCAAAGGGGGCTGTTGCACCAGAGCCGTTAGCCTGCGCCCACCCATACAGGCTTGGACCAAGATCACCAACACAAGCGCCCTTAACCCAAACTCATGACCCGAACGCCCCATTTTCTGTCTCTACCCTTTCAGATCAGAGGAGAGAAGAAATGTGATTGAAGAGAGTGAAAGTGAGTTTAGAGAGAGTAAATGTGAGAGTTGAGATGAGGGAGGTTGTAAGTTCAGAATAAGTGGGGGGTAGTATATATAGGGAAGGCGAAGAAGAGAGAGAGAGGGATAGATTTGAGGGGGCTTCGACGTAGGTTCGTGACACGGATCACAGGAGTCACGCAATACAAAGTGATGTGAGACGTCGACACCTGGTGTGGCTTTGTTAATTGAGGAGTGCCAGCACTGTTCCCTGGTTTTTATTTTTGGAACCTGGGGTTGTGGGCTGGCAGTCCCGGTTCCAGAGGTTCAACGTTTTGTACCTGTAAATGGGAAAGGCAGAGAGAGAAAACAAAAGGTCGAAATAGAGAGAGGGAGTCTTGGTTGGATCCGATGCGAGAGATAAATCGCTATATGGTTGGCAATTGGCCCGGACCCGACTTGGGACCTACTAGGAATAGGTCCAATTGGACCCGAAAGGTTGGGTCCGGGTCTAAAACCAGACCCAGATACTATTTAGATTTGAATCTGGTTGAATCTAACCTGTATCCGTAAACTGTTTAAAATACTTAAATCCCTGTGCCCTTTGACATATTAAGGATTGTATACAATAAATATTTATGTTTATTTTTAAAAGACACATTAGACGGCTTGAAATCTAATGGCAGGTGATTGTGATCTTGTTGTAAATAATATGGTTATATGATGGTAAAGAATTGACAAAAAAAACTCATAATGAGGATAGCAATGAGCCTGACTAAACTTAGGACCTGATGGGATAGACTCGAGACTTGATGGGTACGGGGTCCAACTTTTAAACATGATAGGTCGGGTCCGAGTCTAAAATCTAGATTTAAAACCTAATCTATTGCCCCCTAATTGTAAGGGTAACGATGGGCCAGGTTGCTCAATCGAGCAACATTAGGGTCTGGGTTATAAAATGTGGCATAAGGGTGACGATGGGCCGGGTTGCTCAATCGAGCAACATTAGGTCTGGGCTGCTCAGCCGCACTGTGCAGAGAGCGTGTTTTAATTTTGAAGAGAGAGAAAAAGGCAATTAAGATGCCAATGGGTGGGCTCCCGGATAAGTGCAGCGGTGGTGCATTGCTTTTGACTTGATGCCCGCCGGGAAACTTCTCTCGCCCTCCGCATTATTGCCACTTCCTCAGTACTAAAAAGTTCTGAAATTTGGAACATGCAACTTGATACAACGTAGGAAGACATGACAATTTGATGGGGAACACAAGTTTTATTTCTTTTCCTTCAAGAGTACTCCAAATAAATATTATAGGTGAAAATTGTAAGGACGATTGACAACTGTTTTGGTTTTTTCAAAATTGCCTTTCAGTATGAGGATTCTATTATGGGACGGCATTTTAATTTTTTTTTTTTTGTACGTTGGGCAGTGCCCCAAGCTTTAGGAACACAACAAAACTCCAATATAACGGTCCGAGGTTCCTCTCCTCCGTTTGTTATTTTTCTCAAAAAATAAGAAATAAAGTGCGGTTAGAGGATGGGGACCTTATACCATTGTTTTTCTCAAAACATAAGAAAGAAAGACCGGTCCGAGTGACCGCTAAGGACCTGAGGCCTGTTCAGTCCAGAGGGTGGTCCGAGGATTCTAAATATTTTAAGGGGCATAATAAAATGTTTTTTTGGAAGTTTCTACAGAAGACTTAACATGGTTGGTTTGGTTATGATGTGTTTGGACTTGATTTTTAACGTGAAGGTGCATGTATGTAAAAGAGGGAAAACAAAGAGATTAGGGAATTGGGTGAGATAGGTGGGGGCTTCCTAAATTACTGGTCCTTTACGTGATGGGAAGAGAGAGAGAGAGAGTTTTTGTGGTCATTAAAGGCCTTATGAGAGCAAATATTCAAATATTTAATATAAGAGAACATAAACTTAGTGGGAGTTTGGTCCCTTGTGGACCAAGATAAGTAAATGTTATTTGCTAAAACTTAGATTTGACTTGACGTGCTAGGCTAGTCGAGTTGAAAATCCTTATTGCCTAGGCATAAAACATAACTGATCATAGTTTACAGGGTCATCCCTAGATGAGGTCAGAGTTGCCCAAGAGAGTGAGCCAAAGTAACATGTGACCGTTAGGTATGGTGGTAGGCCTCTAAAGATGAGGGGTCAAAGCCTCATCATTGAACCATCACACGACATGTGAATATAATAATCGCATTAGGAAAGAGAGTTATCATTAAAGGTGAAGCATGTACATGTGTGAGAATTACTCTTATGCACCATAGAGCTATGGTTGCATCAGATCTGTGTGACCTTGGACCCGTCTCTAGGGGAATCTGTAATCCATAAATTGATATTGTGTCCTTTACTTATTGGTGGACTTTGGTAGCCCAATCATGAACCTTTGCAGTGGTTTGTGGGTCATGAAAAGTACTGAGTCAGTTTGAGAGAGTAAGTGTGGATCAGAGTTTGCAATAAAAAATAAAGTGCTTCAGTGATATTATAATTCTTAGATCTAGTTGCATCCGATTCCCATCAAAATTATTTGGAATTAATTATTTAATGTTAAATAATTTTTAAATCAATTATTTGAAGTTTATGAGTATTTGGATTTTTTTTTTTAAATAGATTTATAACTTAAAAGATTCAATTTTCAACATTTTAAATATTTAGAGAGAAAAAAAATATATTCTTTTTCTAAAATTCATTTTCTTTGTTTTAATATTAATATTACATGTGATGGCCCATTGTACTCCATGGACCTACTAAAATAACACATGTGGGGAGGTGCATGAGGCCCATTTGGGACTCCATAAGGAGCATGCCCCATATAAGAGAGAACTTTTCTTTTCTAGTGGCGTGTGAACGAAGCTATGAACCTTTGATTGAAATTTATGGAAAATGTTTTACAAAGAATTTGATTGAAACAAGAAAATACAATTTTGAAAATGAGGAGATTTGATTTTCAAGTAAAAATATGTGTAAGAAGATTATGAAAGAGAGGCAAATGTAATATATTTTTTATATTAATTTTATTTGATGGGATTAGGTTAAATAAGCTGAAGGATAAGGTTCTAGCACATTCTTTTTAATAATGGTGGTTGATCTAAGGACTGTATGGTTCAGATCTTTCACCCTATAGGTCTCCTATGATCAATGGTCTAGATTTAATCTCACTAAAGAAGGCTAACCCTAAGGAAATTCAAACCCTTGAAAATTCTATAAATAGGGGCTCTCTCATCTCAAATCTTAATACAACTCTCATCTCTCTAAGATCTTTCTCCTCTCTCCCTTAAAAAAATATTGAGGAAAAAATATGGGGTACACCCAAGCCTATGGTGCCAAGAGGTGGCACGCCCCGTGCACAAGGTGTTGAGACCTTGAAGTGTGCACAATGTTCTATTGCTCTCATATTTATAAGGGTAGTAGCGAAGGATTTCACATACTTTATAGATCTGAAATAAAACATTGATCCCGTGTGTCATTAGAGGAAGAAACCTGGTGTGGGGTGTACTAAGTCTGGTTGAGGTAATCTTCTTGTATCTTTATTTTGTGTTTTGCAATATTTTATTTTTTATTTTTTCTTGTTCTTATAAGCATTGTGTTGGTTTTATTCATTGAATAAAAGAAGTTGTAATTAATGACATTAAGTGATAGCCATTTCTTATTATTTATTTGTTTATTTCAAGTGACTGTTATTGTATTTAGACCTTTGTAAGTGTTCTAGTCGGTGAGAAAAAATAAAATAAAAACTATATACACTGTGCTAGATCACTTTGTCAAACTTTTAGTTTCATGGGTCTTTATGTGATGGTGAGAGAGAGAAGATAATAGCGTGTGATTTAGAGAGGAGAGAGGGAGAGAGAGAGAAAATATGGGGGAGAGAGAGGTTTTATGGTTTTTTTATTTTATTTTTGTCCCTTTTTTAAGTTTGTATTTAAAAAGAACAAAAGTTTGAGAAATTCAAAGAAGACCTTGGCATAACAATACAACAAAGTGTACAAGATCTACTTAGTAATTTTTAATACCTCTATTAGGTCAGAAATTTCTCTGTTGTCTAGCAAGAGCCATATTCTGATTGGGATATAAGTTTTTTTCGGAGACATGGGGCTGATTTTTAATCTCATGGCTATGAAGAAAAAATATAATTTCAAAATATAAAGGAATCAGATGCTTAAGCATAGTGTTGGCAAAACTCCCATAACCTGGACTAAGTCTATTAAGAAGCCAAAAGTCCTTACTTTCATCTTATACAGGTTTTCCAATAGTCGTTAGATTATCACAAGTAGTCTTGAATTTGCATATGTATTCTGATAGGGTTGAATTACCTTTCATGTAGAGTTGGAATTGCTGGGTAAGTTGGAACTCCCTAGCTTAAGAATAACCAGCATAAAAATTCTTCAAGCATTTCCACACTTTTGTAGAAGTCTTGAGGCCAACAACGAGGCTAATACACTCTTCTGATAATGTCCCTGTGATCCAGGCTCTAAGAAACCGGTCGGACTTTAGCTATAATTAGTAGTCTGGGTTTTCAATTTAACTGTTACCATCAAGAGATGAAATCTTTTGACTTGGTGTAGAGCAATTACCATTAATGAATCTAACAAGTTCTTTACTCTCAATGAGAGAGAGCATTTGAGTATCTCATAGCATTTGAGTATCTCATAATAAATAGTTGTTCTGTGTCAACTTAATAAACACAAAGTTTTCTATGTCAAAAGTAGAGGGAAAAGCACACGTGGACATTGAGGATATATAATTCACTGGAACAAATAAATATTTGGAAATATATTGATGAACTAAGAGAGGCACAACAAATAAAGGTTAGAGAGTAGGTTTCGGATGGCTCAAATAAAAAACGTGAGAGAGGAATATGAAGTTGATGGTTTAACAAAATAATATAATGGAGATAATGGAAGGTATGTGTAACAATCCTAAAACTTTAAAAAAAAAAAAAAAAAGTAAAATAAAATAAATAAATAAATAATTCCTTATTGTGTGATGGTTCATATAAGTATTATGGTCCTCAAGGACCATCACCACTTTTGTTGACATTTTCCTTTCATATACCACGTTCTTTAGTTGACGTGGGCCTTAAATGTTTCATGTATAATATTATTGTCACACCTCATGTATGAGGTGGAGCTTAATAAAATAATATAATAAAGTGTCTTAAGAATTTAAATAAGAGAGGTGAGGACTCCCACACTAGAAAACTTTTGTATAAGCTCTCCCAACACACTGAGATCTTTCTCTCTGTAGTCGAAACGCAGTGAGCTCTTTCTCTCTCTAGCCA